ACTATTATTGATAACCGATACACAAATGGTTTGCTGAAGTTTTCCTATTCTCAATTTTGAACAATATGTTGGAATATCTATATATTTAGTTGTCTTTGATAATATACATCTGTATAGCAGAGGATGTACTCTTTGTTCGAGTATGATAACGATCGTAAGAATAATTTTAGTTATTTGGAGAACTCAACGTTTTTCACAAGCACTGGCGAAAAGTATAAATTAAAATTTATTAGTTAATAGTTCATAGCTAGCCAAAACCGATTTTATATGCCCTACATTATTTAACCTACTACAATGCAATTTTACAAATTTAGTAAAGATTAGTAAGTCTAGAAAATGATAAAAATTAAAAATTTATGAAAGTGATTAATGGGATGGTTATTAAATTTAATTAAAGTATTTCGAAAATTGAATCGAGCAGTATATTGTGAGTCTTATCTCAAATGAATATACGCACTTGTCACCGATGGTACAAGATATAGTTATAATGACTGCTAACAAAATAATCTAAATTATAGGGACAAACAAAAAAGCATAATTTGATTTTTAAAGGCATAAATGGACCGGCATGAAATTCTTTATTTATATTAATTATATTGAAGAAAGGAAAACATGGAAGTAAAGGTAAAAACCGTGGAATACCTTCGAGGTCGTGAAATTAATTAAGGCGATAGTTATCAGCATTATTCTAGTGTCTTCAGCTGCTCTTAAACAATTTTTAGTGGCACGCTTAGGCCCATTGCATTTCAATTTAAAATATAATAAAAACTGTTGGTGTGAACTGAAGCGATAACAAAGCTGACTATTCTTCAAGGGTGCTGATAATTTGGATGATGACAAAGAAAAAAGTGGACATGTAATTTCTAAAAAAAAAAATCAAGCAGTTTATAATATCTTCTAACCTTCAAACGATTCTTGTATAATATCATTTCAATTCAAGAGTTTTAACACTTTAATGCATTTGTTGCCAATTGTCTATATTCTAGTTACACTTTAGTTAAATTTAAAATTGTAAAAAATATGCGTTTACGGGTTAATGGTTTACGTACGCTAATTTTATTAGTTTTAAAATAATAGAAAAATGCAAAGTTCGTGTCTCGATTAAATGCTGTTTCTTAATGGGAAAAGATGACGCTGAATCTCAAAACAGGGTTAAAAATGTCACGACAATTCTTTTTATGGGTAGTAGTTAACTAATTTTGAACGAAGCAATGGACAGTGATGATACTGAACGCAATATGTGGAAAGGGAGATAGAAAATAAAGATATCCAAAGCCAATGTGTGTTTTGAACTTTATCTGGTTGTAATCTACTATTATCTATTTGCATATCTCAAAAGAATGCTGCAGAGAAAAGAACTGGGATAAATATATCGTCCTATAAAAATTTCATCGAAATATTTGAAAAGCGCTAATATGACTATCACTTTTGAAAGAGATTATATTGTCATATAAAGAATTTTGCAGAATGTAAAATATATTTTTTATTAGATTCCGGTGATATTTAATCGATGTATCATGTATTAATTCATTTAGCAATAGCAACATTGCGCGCCTAAGATTAGATAAACTTGAATTACAATAAATTTAGAAGACAAATTTTTTAAATTTTTTGCGACTATAAACGAATGGATATGCAAACCAAATATGCATTTGTAATTCTGTAACGATCGATTATTTTTTAAGCAACCTTCTAAGTACCTAGAAATAATAATGGATACGAAGTATTGTGAAAGTTGTCTAAATAATTAAATTTGAAATCTGATCCTAATATTCTTTTGATATCTCCTATAAATCTTTAAGATTGGTTGGAAGTAGTTCTTTGTGACAAAAATTTTAATTTAAAAACAATATTTTTGGAGCAAATTAAATGAGATAAAAATGATTGGTAAAAATTTATGGTTTTCTAAAATTAATTAACATAACATATATATGTAGTATTGAAATTATTAACAAACCCCAATTCGAACTGATATTGGAATGGATGCAGGCAAGGAGACAGTGATTTATGATTGAATTTGAGCGAAACTGTCATTTTATTTTCCATCTTTATAATTCGATTTTAATAAATGATTTCTATTATCACTTTTTACCAAAAATTTTCTTGATGAAATGTGGTATTGCCTTGTTGTGTATTGAATTATAATAGGCTCCATAGTTTACGAATGACGATGTAACGCCTCAGGCGTTAAGCATTTTATCGAAAGCAATCTCAGTTTAAATGCTCTTTTTAATTGACGGGATGTGCGTTTAGTGAACATAATATAATAGAACTAATTCATTTAAGTGATACTTCGTAGATAAAATTAATTAATAATAAACATGCTATGGCGTCCATATGACAATAGATAGACATCCTTTAAAATAATATACATGTAACATGTGTACATTGTATTCATTCGTGTGAGACGCTTTTAAATGCACGTAAGAAGAAGCGATGGAAGAATATCCCACTATTTCCTTACCATATATTTTCATTTTTCGATCAAAGTTTTTCTACGTAAGTATGTGTATTTCTAAATAATTTCTTAATTCGCCTGAGTAGCCGAAGGCGAGGAATCTCGACTAGCAAGTCAATGGTCGTGGGTTCGAATCTCAAGTGCGATAGAGTTTTTAATAAAAGCCGATAGCCTTAGATGCTAGTGCTTTTAAGAGTTTAGTCTTAGAATTTTTTTCTTTGGCGAAATTAATAATAATAATAATAATAATAATAAATAACTTCTTATGCATAGATCTAAGTAGACTGATGCTTGAGTTTTTGGTATTTTACTTGCTGTTGGTGTTACAAGTATGCTTATGTATGTTGTATATATATTCACTTATATTATTTACATTTGCCCAAGGTTGTCATTTTAGTTTGTTTTTATTTCTAGTCGTGCTTTGTAAATATACTCATCTCTATGACTTATGTTCGTGAGAAAGAGAATTCAAGCCTAACTACTAAACACTTACATACACACACTCAAACATTCTTTCAAAATGTTCTAACTAAAGTTAACATTAGCACATTATTAAGTGATGACAGTAAATATATGCGTTAGTTTCGAGCGAAGGAAGTAATCTTTCGTGCACTCTTTGGGTAACTATTTATTCAAGCAAAATTTGCAAGGCATAAGTGTTGCTATATACCTATGACGACTTTCGTTGACTTATGAAGAGGTAAAATTAAGCACTAAGGTTGGAAAACCTCGCTCCTTAATAAATAGATTACAATTTTTGTAATTATAATGTGGAGATGACAAGCTCCAGATTTTAAAATATAAATAAAAATTCTTTCAAAACCTTAGTTTTTCAAGTAATTTTTTTTATTGTAGTGATGAGAACGTAGTTACAAACACTAACCTTGTGTAGACAATATCAGACAGCCACAAAGCTACCCAAAATTCCGTTCGGAAAATGTTGTAAGCGTTATTGAAATAAAGGAAAGGTCTGCAAACTCATTGTTGTCAAAACTTACGAACCGTGTCATATTTCATTTGCATGTAATAAGTCTCAGAAGTTTTAAGTGTGTGGTGTGTCGCACACGGCAGTTAGGTGATAATCAATAACTTCGGAATTAACGTAAAGCTAACATTGGTAAGCCATTTCTGAAACAAAATACAACTTTTTGGTGTGATTAAGAATGTCGGAGGGTTGCCATTTTTTTGAGTGGCCTCTTGCCGTAAAAGGGGAAATTTTCAATAAATGGACCTGGCCCGCCCAAACTTTTCGTCGAACCATTGAAAAAATTCAAGGACTTTTTTAAAATACGGTGTTGGAGGAGGATTTATCGTGAAAATTGTTCGATCAAATTGATTTACAAAAGTGCTTTTTCTTTCATCAAAATAGTATATTAAGTAGACATTTAATGGACCAATATAACGCATACACCCGCACAAACTTAATTTACCTTTATAATATGGGGAACGTTTTAATTCGGCAAAGTTGAGTATTGAATACCTTAGAGTTATTTCACTACTACAATCAAAACTTAAAAATTCGTTAAAAATAGGGAATTTGTCTCATTCCAATACTTACTTTCAAAAAAACTTATATGGAGAGATCCGAAATATATCTAAGTTTACTATCATTAACTTATTTATTTTCATTATTAATTGTTAAAAATTGCCATATAAAAGTTTAGTTTCAATAAATACCATGATATGAGGTAAGATTCTAAAGCTTGACTCATGTGACCAAAATTTAGCAGAGTTCAATTTTTTCTTAAGGAGAAAGATTTGTTCTTCACCAATTTTCATGTACAATTAAAACTGATTTGTGGTATAAAGGTTAATTACTTATTAAGTATGGGACGAGGTCCAAAGAATTTAATAGAGCTTCTAATAAATAGCTTATTATTTTTGACCTATTTTAGTTGAAAAGGATCTGTTTGTTACTAAAAGGCACAAATATTTTTCAAATAAGGGCATTCTTTAAATGCGGTGCAATATGGGATATAGTCGTAAAACTAGTTTCATGTAATTCATTTTCAACATATTTCCAGTCAAAATAGGTCAATATGACAAATGTTATTAAAATATTTTCAAAACTAAACGGTAAATCGGACACTAAAATAGATGGACATACATCAGACAGACGAATAGACTCCACTGAAACAGTTAATGTCATAATAAGTGGTTCAATTTCAAGTCATTTTGCGTGTTGTGTGCATCTGCATAAACTTACTGCAACCTTACCACACTAGTGTATACAAAGGTAAAAATACCAAAAAAAATGCCTATAGGTGCGAGATATACGTATGTTTATAATTTAGTAATACAAAAATGACTATGACAGCGTTAATAAATTAAATAGGTTAATGTGCGATGAAACAATGAAATATATAGGGGCAAGTTAGCATCAGTGTCTTTAACTTTGTTAAGTTATTTTAAGTCGATTTCTGAACACTCAACAATAGGCAAAAATATTCAAGAAAAAGTAAATGTTTATTTCTTTGTGTATTTATTTCTACATACATTTTTCAACATTTTCAGATACAAAGAATTTTCTAATAATTTTTTAAATACCGTATATACAATGAAATGAACCGTATATTGTTGGATCCCAACAGGATACATATGAAGAAAAACATTTCTAATAGTTTGTTTAAAACCCAACTACGAAAACTATAAAATTTCTACAGTAGTTGGCTGGGGATAACAAATTCTTCAATATATCTAACATTTTCTTTCGACGTGTGGTCAATAGATAATACTTAAAATATATAATAAACTAAGTTGCTAAAAGTAACTGTTTATCTAAAGTAGTTGACATAAATATTGTTTATATTGGGCACGTATATTATACAAAATTTTAATATTCGCGATGTACATGAAGTGCTGTGTGAAAATAAATATATATAAGCTTTCACACACCCAGTTTGTCATACCTTGCATTGTATACCTTGTAAGTGTATATTACGTTTGCGCGGATGTGTCAAACACCCAGAAGGATTTGAAGTAGACTCACCTTTCCCTGCATAAATCGACTCAGAATCACTGCCTAATTAGACATATCTGTCCAACCCTCCCTTTGACGTTTGTGTTCGTGTTAATGCGTTCGATCTACAAGTCGCGAAGGTATGTTTCGTTAAAATAGGACATATTAGTATGTTTTCGTTGCAGGACGAGCTCTATTGAAAATCGTTCCGATTGCGCTATCCTCTTTATAATTCCCCATTAAAAAAAATGCTATATAAATAATGTGGAAATGAATTTGGAAAATTTCGTTTCTAAATTTCTGTTAATCCAAGATAGTGATATCACATATAAATGTATTTCATATAAGAGTTTTCACGAAAGAAACCCTTTAGATAACAACAATTTATCGTATTTTATGACAAAAGTATGTGAAGAATTACACCAAGTCAAGTGGTGTAGGAAATTTGATGGCCGATCTTGCCAAAAATAAAATTTTACTTTCTTTACATTAGTTTTCTCCAAAAAAGAGGTTGAAGTTGACTTGCAAGTGCACGACATGAAAACCTAAAGCTTGAAACGAAATTAGTTCATGAAATCGCCTAATTTGCAGTTATTTCAACTACATTATTATTTTGTTTATACAATATAATCGCACTGCCGAAGCTCCAAAGAAAACGTTAAAATCATCGCAGACCTCTTTATGATCGGTTCAGCGGAGTAGCTGGTCGCTTTATTTTATGGATTTCCTTAGAGCCTTCGCTGGTGATAGCTACCACTAAGGGCTTAACCTAAAGCACTTATCCTTCAACTTAAAGACTGGTTTTTACTTCGTTTCAGCAGCATTTTCTTTCATCCTTTATTGTTATAATATTTACTTTGTTAGCATCATCGTTATTATTAGTTGCCGTTAGTGTTGTTCTTGTGTTAAACTCACCACTAAGAGTTTCTAAGAGTAAGTGTGACCCTTGGAGTAAAATTTAATTTAGCAAAAGCAAAAAAAGAAAAATTAACAACACAACTTCAGGTGGCGAAAATATAAGGAGAGGATAAAGTCAGAACATCAATGATTTAGTTAGAAGATATACACAGGAAAATTAGGATAGGGTAAGGTAAGTGAATATTCTCTTTTATGCGATACCTGTTTTCCGCGTTGATGCAGCCTTTTAATTCTATCTCTTCTTCTTGCACTCAATAAACAAATATGATAATTAGGTATTACTGTAAAAAAATTTGAAATAAATCTTAATTCACTGTTAGATATTGAGAAGAACAAAAATTTGCGTCAAATGGTGAGGTCATTGCCAAAACTAAATTTTGAGGTTCTTTTGACAAACCAGTCTATAAGAGAACATCGAAGTGTTAAAGGGCCTTTGGACTGATTGTAGTAGTCTGTGTGAAATTTTGTAACAAAAATATTTTTTCTTATTGACTCCCGCGAATAGTTGAGCGATATATGTTTGAAAAGAATGATCGTTCTTCGAATGTGAAGCCATATATATGCTTAGGCATATTGTGTTTATCCTTTTGTTTTATGATTTACTATTATTTAAAATATAATAATGGTCTTTAGCGAATTATTAAACAAAATAACGATCATAAATATTTATATATGAAACTGACTTTCTACGTTTTCAAATATGTGCGCATGTTAGCATGTTCTTCGTAAAAACATTTGCCTGAGCCAGTCTTACTTACTGTGTATGCCGGCGCAAGCGAATGTTTAAAAATTATATATATATTCAAGTATTTTGTATAATATTCATGATAATTGGCTGTTGCGAGATAATTTAACGAAGAAATATAAAAGTTTGTAAAGAAATAAGAGGACAAGCGGCTTATGGAGCAAAGGAATTGCTTTACATGCTTCATGCAAAACAAATCGGGTAGTTCTCCGCAATCGCAAGATTAAGGCTGTTTGAATATAAATACTGTCTCTTTGTGCTGAACAGACGGAACTTAATTATAAAAAGTGACAGATACTATACAGACATTTCGATTGACCTTCTTAAAAAAAAAAAATTAATAAAAATTTTTGCAGCCTATTCAAATTAATTCCTCTTGGCGGATATGTTATAAAACTGTCTAATGTTTGCACCATCATGTAAATGCCTGCTGTGTTAAATAAAGAGAGTTATGCAAAAAATTTTAAGATAAAACCTGACTAATTTCATTCCTTGCGGCTTTAATATTTTAAAAAATTCTTTACAAAAAATTGGAGAAATATGGACCAAATATCAACTTGTCTCGTTTTAGTGATCAACAGTAATACAATGGTGGTAAGTAAGAAGAAGCGCTTTTAGGACTAAACGCTTAAGCCAACGTTAGCAAAACTGAATTCTTGTTCAAAATTGCAAGATGTGCTGCGGCAATGAGGTGATCAAAACTAAATTAGGCATAAATTTTTGCATGTAGGCTAATGCGAACTTCAATATTTCTGTGAACTTATTTCTACGTTCTCGACGGGTATCTATTCAAAAAAAGAAAGATATACCTATTGTTGAATAGTGCAATTATTTCCCATAAAAACCAAATATTGATAGCAATTTGACTGGTCATATTTTTACGAATATGTATATAAAAAATTATTCCCGGTGGTAAGCATAATATCAGAAAATGAAATTTTTACATGTAATTTTTATATTATCAATGTATTGTTTTGAAATAATATAGTTGAAAAGAATTATTTAACCCCTTTCAAAAGAAAATTTCAGCCCATATATGTGTACATTTGTACTAATGCATGTGATTGAAAAGACACCATTTTTCAATTGACCATTACCTGGAAGTTTTTACAGGTCCTTCCTCACCGCACACTGCACTACTTTTTTCATCTTACATGAGTTGTGTGTTTTGCAAGTCCCCAAATTGTTGAATCGTTTTTATCAAATCGAATTACAACGGTTGAAATTGGATTATTTCCATTTGTATTTATATGTGCATGCAATTTAAATGCCTTATATAGACTATATTTATTTATGCGCTTATTTTTTGCATTCTCACGAAACGCTGGTGATTTACTATAAATATTTTGGTTTAGCGAAAAGTTAGCACCAGTTAACAGAAGATAAAGGTGAAGGTTGCTTGTGTGAGTGAACTGATGCTTAGGTTATCAACAGAAGCAGCAAAGTAATTGTGATAAACACTTCCAGTTGATGATAATAGCAATATATATTTGGACAGCCCCTTTTTTCTGTTTATCGGATTTTTGGCCACAATTTTCCGAGAATAATCTATTACATTTTTATGCTGCTTCATCTTTATCTGATCTGCTTGATGACATAAAAAGTTTTTTAAGTGCAAGTATATTGTATGCCCATGTTTAATTGAATTTAAAGTTAATTCGAACTCTATCAACGTTATATCTTGGCCCTTCGAAAATTTAACCAGGAGTAATCTTCCTAACACTAAGATTTGGAAAAGCAATTTGGTGGGTACGACAAACGAATAAGGTGCAATCTTAAAAGGTTTGAGTGCCTGGCTCGTGATTCTGAAATAAAGTTCGAATCGAATATTTGCTCTTTCAAACCCTACGAATTTTACACTTTTCTTTGGGGTTAAATTTATGGTATACTCCGGTTTTTTTCTTTCGGCCATTTCGAGCTTGACAACCATACTCTTATTTTCCAGCGGTCGCTTAAGAATGTGTAAAGCACTCATATATTTCTTTTTACTCAAAATATGCTCGGAAAATTCATGACCATGCATATTAATAAAATTATGCAGACGGTCTTCATAATCATGCAGCAGCTGAAGTTGGTTTACATAGAATTCCAATTTTAAAATCAGACTTTCTACATTGTGTCACAACATGTCATCGGATTTGTGATGGTCATCGTCGTTGTCACCACCCAAGTGAAAATCGTTATGGTCCAAATCCAAATCCATGTCGCCATCATCGTTCAACTCTAACGAATGTCGGTTACCAGGAGATAACGATGTCGATAATTGTAAGTGAAGACTTTGAGGACTTAGATGATTATTTCTATTGTTGCGATTATTGCTATTTTTATTTAATAGATTTCCATTGTTAGTATCATGTTTACTATTATGCTGATCGGCAGAATTTTTGACGTTAATTCCACCGCCATCATCGTCTCGCCATTTATCCATGGAACGGCGACGAGCGTTCATGAAAAAATTTCCAACCGTAGTTGGTTCCAAACCTAATTGACGAGCAATAGTTACCTGCATTTCTTTGGAAGGTCGTTTAGTTTCCTGTTCATAAAAGTATTGATAATTTATTTTTTATTTCAAGTATAGGTCATTGTAATGTAACAAATTCCTGCTTACTTTAAATATCGCTTGCAAAGTACGTCTTTGCAAATCGGTAAAGACCAACCGTGGCTTTTTTGGTTGTGGCATATGTTCTATTTGAAGTGGCTCATCTTTTCGCCGAGATAGTGTGGTTACAATACCAGATATAGCGGTACCTAAAAATATATAATAGGATATATCTTACCACAATATACAAGCGATTCAAATTCTTATGCAAAGAAAAAATACATGAAAGTGTCTCACGAGTTTTTACTACAATAATGTAAAGAAGAATGGAAAGAAGAATGTTTGCGTTATGTCAGACTTCAAGGATATAAAGGGTTGAACATCGTGACATTTGCAGTGATTTGCTGGAATGTCAATCGGAATTCGTCGTCAGCAAGTTTCGGAAGACTGGACACTCGAAAACGCCAATTACCACATCCGGCAGATAAAATCAATACCAGTATCGTTCATGAACGACTTACTTGCTTATTAAATTTATGTCCATCTAGCTGTTACTATGAAAATTAGTGGCATCATAAAATATTAAAAATTAGTTTATAATACTAATTAAGCGTAGAGATCGACATATTTGGACATAGTAGGTCTGATTCTGAATCACGTCCTATATAAAGTTTCTCATGAGAAGTATGCTTTCATATGAAAATAGAGTATAATATTTGATATATTCTCAGGAAAATGAAGAAAATTAGGAAGAAGACAATGTGGAGGGTTTTCATCGGCAATCTCGCCCGATTATAATGTTGTCGTTGGTTTTTTCATGGGTGCAGCGTTTCAGTTGTTTCGCTTTTTTTGTACGGGCTCAATTCGAAGATCCAAAAGCTCGTAAGACAAATTATGCAGTATCCAAATACAAAAAGCAGCCAAAACCGCAAAGTCCGTTTTCATAGCGGTGACAGCGCTTGTACAGGAGCGATTTCCCGGTCAATTTTCTTAGTTGAATTTCTTGCTACGGTGGGCTGATGACTATTTACCATAAGCAAAAATCATGAAGTAGAATGTTTCGCTCTGCCAGCAACAACGTTTTCTCAAACACCCTGTTGTAAAACATTGATATGCTCCTTCTAAAATTACCGTGTTTTTTCTGAGTGCAACTGTCAAGACCTCTACTTATAAGTTAATCGGTCGAAAGAAAGAATTGCTCTTAATACCATAGGCAGCGCTGCTTAAAGAGCGCAGTCACATTGAAACATTCAATGTATCGTTGAACTTAGAAAAGCTAGCGAAAATTATTCTTCCGAGGTACTTGCTGTCAAAGAGCGGTAGTACAAGTTTTCTACCGTCCTAATGACATGTAGTCATCTGCCAGGACTTAACTAACTCCTAATGATGTTACTGAAATATCCATTCATGTTCGAAAAAAAGTAAAGGAGTCATGCTAGTTATTACGTTCACGGATGTTGTAATTGCTTTTCCTTTTAAACTATTCTAAATAAGAATTCACGACAACCTTTATAAATACATAAGCAAGCCGACCGCATATACATAGTATACGCTGAAATTGGCTCAACAATGTAACCACAGCATGATTTTTCTTGAATAAATCTCACGTGCCGACCTGCGAAACTTCCCGTATAATTGTGTATAAAAGACTACATAGATTTATCCAAGCTGACCACATACTTTGTTTTTGCAAATATCGTTTGAACATACACCCTCACCGTTTGTTTGCAATCGCTTTATTAAAATCTGACTGAGCGAATAGTATAGGTTCTATTCCAGCATCACTATTGCGGATTGTTCACACCCCAACAGCTTTGCGTCATTATGACACCAAAATAACGCATGAACAACGTCTACATTATATCTTCATATCTTTTCATCAAGTCGGGTCATATGTCGGCAGCACTACACCAACGAGGAAACCCGAACTACGTCGAAGAAATATTATGTTTAAGCTTATGAGAATTTTTTCTAGTGTTCATATTATATCAGAGGTTTTTCTGTGAAGAGATTGCTGTCACGACACGATATGTATTCTCCTGGTGTTAAAATGCGTGACTGGAATGTAAGTTTGTAACATCATAATGATTCCTAGCGTACTTTACAATATCTACCAGCTTCGCATTTGCCAACAAAGGCAGTATGGCTAAAAGGAAACATAGGTGAAGTATACCTGGTCACTTTTTAAATATTTTTTTTTTATTTTTCTTCTTGAGCTTATCATATCACTTGCTCCCTTAATTTCTTGCTTGTGACAGTTCTCTGACAGACTGATAGACAGACGAATTGACAAATATATCGAGAACGGTTCACATTTAATACTGATCAATAATATGTACATTACTCTCTGAAAGTTTTTCTGGGAGCTGCAGACGTTTTGACAAAAGAATAAAATTTTTATATACTGTAATATGGTAAGCATTCCCAAAAGTTCCCATTTTTGCTGCAAATGCTGCAGGTGCACCCCATATGCAAATTGTTATTATTGTATCTGTTGTACTTTGTAAGTAACGAGCAAAAAACTTTTTTTTTTTTATTTTTGAAAACAGAGGTGGTCTCAGGTTAGGTCTCATTGTGGAAATGTTTTCACTAAGTTTAGAGAAATAGTACGTTTAGTGCCCAACCAAGACATTGTTGTTTAAAAGCGGGACAATGTTACTGACCAACACAGTTTGTTTACTCTATCTAGACCTCATATTTATTACTAATTGACTTTAGATAAGCTGTATAAAACCTAAAAATAAAGACTTGGTTGTATTGACTTAGAAAATATAATCTTGATGCAAAAAGTATGCCACAAAGACTATAATATTTGAATTATATAAAAATGTTAGATGCAGAAATAAGTTCTCTGTGTTGAAATTAGTAGCTTTAGAAAACGTACCTGCCGCGTTCATTTCTCCCGAAAATTTGGGCATAGATAACTTTGACATTGATGCTTATACGATATAAGCTTCAGTTGTTTACAAGGTGTCGTTCAGTGTATATCGAAGTGTAAAGAGATGGATGTCAACAAACAGCAATTACATCGCTGCATATTCTGTTTTAAACTGAAAAAAAAATGCAGCTGAAGCTACGAAAATGATTAAGTTGGCTTGGGATAAAAATACAGTAAGATAATGGCTAGAAAGTGGTTTACGAGCAAAACATTTTAGTCTTCAGATGATAAATCCTCTGTAGATCCATTTTCTAGAATCGGAAAGAGATTACGAACTTCTAAAGTTCAGTGAAATAGTTACGTCTAAAGGATATAAAATCTCAATAAGCAGCGTTCGAGAATACAAGATCAACTAAAGCCAAAGGAACTCAAAATTGATTTTGTTTCCTGACAGCCTCTGTCCGTCTACAGAAAAAGCCACGTAGAAAGCGATCTTTAACTTGGGCTGGGAACTCCTACTATTTGTAGATTGTTCTTCAGAACTGTCTTCTTCTACTTAACACTTATTCAGATCGACACAGTCTTAGTTAAACGATCAGCAGCTCACAAAATTTAAAGATGTGCAATAATGGGTAAATGGCTATTTTGGCTCGAAACCACGGAAAATCTATCACGATGGCAACCGTAAGCTACCCGAAAGGGAACAAAATACCATGTATACAGTGAGCACTTCAATTATTAAGGTCTGTAACAAGCATCTTTCCAATAAATTTGAACTCTATCGAAAAATGCGGACAGCTTACCTCTACACCTAATACATGACGCACGGAGTATTATTTAATATTAAGGGAAACAGAGGATTCTCATTTAAGGTTATTCGTAAGATAGCCATAGAACTGCAATCCTGAAGGTGAGTAGTTATATGCAGAAGTGTCACGAATTGCCATCCTACGAACAATAAATTGCGAAAAAATCCATTCACGACATACATCTCCAAAATATTTTGAACTAAGGCTTAAGCTAAGGGCTTGTCGCCCAACGTACCGTTTTAATGTACAAAAAATGTAATATTTTTTTCAAAACGTATTTTCAACTGAGATTTAGAGGTTTCGAACATGGACGATGTGAAGGAATTTGAAACGTACTTCGTAAGCGCTCAATGAAATAATGTATTTCCATATCATAGTTACATGTTTTTCTACCTTATACAAACGTTTTCACGTCTGATTCAGTTCAGATGGTTAAATTAGGGTTTCACGATTGAAACTTACCGCTTGAACTTTTGTTAACGAGATTGTGGTTTAGAATCGGATTATTGATAGCACTGCTAAGCGAAGAGTTGTTACGTTGGGGAATTTGTGCTGCTGCCATCCGCAAAGCTGACATTCGCTGAAATTCTGGCTCTTGTAGCCATTTGAACATACGCCTAAATGTTTCTCGTCCTGATTTCAATTTGGACCATGGCTTCGGATTGCGCAATAAATCAGACAGTGTACCTTGGGAACGACATAAAACGCGTTGGGCAAAAATTGCTTGCGGAATACTATAACGCTTCAACTCGGCAGATATACGCTGCGCCAGTTCCTTGGTATTAATCTCTTCGGTATCACCGTTTAAGTTAGTGCTGTTGACACTAGTGGAAACGTCGTCGTTGTTTTCTGTGCCCAGATGCTTTGAATGAATCTTTGAGCTCTTTTGCATATCATTGAAATGCTGTTGCTCCTGCTGCAGAACTTGGATTTCTGATTCCCGAATTGTACCGCTATCATCGGTTTCTCCACAGTCGTACGATAATAATTTCGTATGTTCGTGGGGAGAATGTGAAAGACAGATTTGTGAATTCAAATTATGTTCCATTGCCGTTCGATTATTTTCTGAAGTGACTACATCACAAACATTTCGATTCAATGCCAAAGTATTTCTGGTTACCAAAGCTATATGTGGGGTTGATAAGGTCCCGTTATTTTTAGACGTCATCGCGGCAGAAGTTGTTGTTCCTGTCGGTTTTACTGTCGCTAGCTCTAACTGGTGGTGTGTTGATGGCGAAGAAGATGAAGGTGGGATTGATACTAAAAGAGGCTCGTGATCGATTGATATCTGGGCTACGTTAACCAAACCGCCATTTCCATCATTTGCTGATAAAGGGGTCATTGTGCTATTAGCCATTTGCGCTAAAGTTGCCACCGTAGCACCGGGTGAGTGCAGTGAACTCGCTGACAACGAGTTAGAGCTTATAGTAGCTGGACTGTGTGGATGAAATTGAAAATGAGTTGAATTTCGGCCTCCTGAATTAGAAGATGTAGTTGAGGAAATTGTATTAACAAGTAATTCTCGCTGATGACACCCAAATGGTGATTCGTAACCGGTGACGATAACTTGCTCAGTTACTGGTGAAAGACAAATAACATGCCGCCTTGAACTTCTTTCGCAATCAACTGGGCTTTTGTTTACTCTGTTGCTTCTGCTTTCACTACTGGTGTCTCCACAAGGATGATGGGGATTTCTGCAAATGCAGGGAGTTAATGATGATGGCGAGTTTACATCTGTTGATTGGCTGTATGTTGATTGAGGTGAAAGCGGACCACAATCACCGACAGGCGAATGTGCAGGCAAATCACAAGTAACTACTATTCCAGCTAGAGTGTGCGTAGGTGAACTAGTAAAGTTAGGAGGGGGTGTTATTGACATACACATTGAAGGTAACTTATCGTATGTTAAATAAGATGAAGGCTCGCTACCACTTAAACCGCCTAAATTTAGGGAGCATAAATTTTGCCGGTGATAGTGTGGTTGTTGCTGCTGATGATTGTGTTGTTGTACATGAGGATGTGTTGCTGGCATGACTTCATATTGTCCGGCATTTGATGTACTATTGCTCACAATATTATTATTGTTATTATTATTTTCTTCATTACCTTCGTTTTGAGTATTGGTGGTGTTTCCTTGGGTGCTAACTTCAGTAGTTGTTATACGACCACCGTAAGCAAATTTTTCAGACATTGTGGAAATTGGAGGCAAGGGTTGTAAAGGGGTCAAAGTCGCGTAAGCAGAATTTGGGCTAAAGGCAGCGGGCGATAAGCGTTCCTCATTCACTACGCACGACAGTGTCTGATAAGAGTTCGTCTCTAAAGAATTTTCAGCACCTACTACAACGCCCAATTCGGGACTTAAAATTTGTGATGCAGAGTCACGAGAGTCATCTTGCGCTTGAACAATAACTGAAAGTGACTCGATATTCGTAGTACCCACAGCGGTATCGATTTGTCGCCCATGCTCATGCAAATGACGACTCAATATGTCGGGTGAATGATGTTCGTTAAGCTGCAAGTTATGGTCATGATGGTGATGGCTGCTGGAGTGATGACCTTCAGTATCGAACGTTTGCGTATGTAACATTTGATTGTGTTGCTGCAAGAGGGGTCGTTGCATACGCACCTTCTCTCCAGTTATATTTTCCGGTTGACCATAGTTTTGCTGTTCTGTACCACTCATGGCATCCATAATAACATCAAGATTAAGACTGCAACTCTTGTGTTCGCTGTTGTAAATGTGATTATTGTTGTTATTGTTAACGTTATTAATTTTTTGATGATGGGTGCCTAAGAGTATTAATTTTTTCCTTTTTTTAACATTAATGATATGTCCATTTGACCCATTCGAACTTGAGGAGCCTCCTAAAATACCATTTATAGCTGTGTCTGTCTCCAAAATTTGTATTGGACTTCCAAGAACCAAGCGCTGATGTTCCAGAGGATGCGATGCACTATAGTTTTGATTACATACGTTTCGAGGCTCTACGGCATCTTGATGCGATGGAGGACTGTCGCCTATCATTAGCAAAGCTGATTGATGTGACACACCCCTTCCCATAACCACGCCCGAAGAACTACTTATTTCAGTTTCATCTACCATTGTATCATGTGCAGAAAGTACAGAAGCCGGTGAAGCTGAACCGCCAACCAACACACGATGGTCTACCATTAAGTCGTTGCTGCTATCTTCCACCAACTGTCGCTGTAGTGATTGTTGGTCTATAATGTCGTTTATTGGTTCCATATTTTGGCCAATGTTTGTATAAGTGAAATTGTTGAGCATTTAAAGGTGATTATTTTAAAAGCTAGAACTGAAAACAAAATATTCATTTAACAAAGCGTTGACCTTCATGTTTCTGTGTCTAGGAATTACTAATAAATAATCATTTGAAGTAGAAGTCAATCACAATTATTTGATTTTTTAAAGCGTTCAGATCTTATATATTTAAAAGCTAATCGCGTGTACATTTTTAAATCAAATGTTTGTGTACCGTTCTGGAAAAAATATATTGATGAAAAATGTATACACACGATCGTATCTCTGCTTAAAAATTTTTTATCTCTCTTTTCAGTGTTTATCAATATATCATAGTACTAATACGAGCGGAAGTGAATATATTTTATGTATTATGAAATATTTTATGTATTTTCTATGGATGTGCTACAATATACCAACAACCTAGACCCCCTGACAGAGGATTCCGACCAAATGAATATTCCAATAACATGACTTAGGATGAAATAGTCAATGGTGGAGTAAAATAATTTGGAGTAAATTTAAGTTTTGTTAAAAGATTACAATTTTTCAAAATATTCAAAATTAGGCAGTAACAAAAAATTGTTTAGTTCCAATTTTGGCGCCATCCATTATTCCTAAAAATTTCAAGTTTTTTATAGGTTTTCATCTTGAATAAAAGGTGAACATAAAGAAATAGATATGTATGGGAATTATACTGGGTTTTTGTAAATAAAACAAACTCAAAAATTATTGCACAACATGAGTGACCTGCACAAAGTAAACCTTGCAAGATTTTTTACCACTTAATTTGGTACTTTGAGTTGATAAATCTGGCTAAAATATATTTGCTTAACTTAATAAACTTTTTGGTTATCCCAGTGTACTCCTGTTTCTTTCTTTCTTGCACGATCGAAGTATATAGTAACTAATATATTAATATTTAAATATTAACATTTCTACAACAATCAATTTTTCGTTCAAAAACTCATCTATGTACGCTCAGACTCTATAAAGATGTGATATATGCAGAGTATGCTTTGAAAATAATCAGGAACTTTTAGTAAACATATTACTTTTTTAAGTTTAATGTCGGCAGGAGACAACATTATCTTGCTGCTGCAATACGCCTATAATTTGTATAAACAAAACATTTATCTAATTTCATATATTTATGATCGTTAATATACATACATGTATAAACCTATTATGTGGTTAGTATTGTAGCTATTCTTGAATAAATTTTGTAAATACCTGTGTAGAAAAGGGTTGTTTTAGAAGAATTTTTTTTTGTACATGTGTCGATCCACTTGGTGTTTGCTGAAAACAGTTTTATTTCTTCTGATTCACTGGGAACCTTCGTTTTATTATTTCTTTTCACTACAACTTTCTATAATCTTCACAACAACGTTCACCTCTTTATACGCTAATTTGAAAAGAGGTGCTTCTCTACTTTAAATCGTTTTTATAACTTTCTTAGATATTATTTTAGTTTAGTCTATTTCATATATTCTGACATTATCTCAGGTATATTGAGAATCTATTTTTTGGAACCAATTATGAAGAAGTGTATTTACTTGTATAGAAATGTGCACACATATATATATATAGAATATATACATATATACAATTTATATACACTGTATATATACAATCTATATATACATATAAATATATATATATATATATAGTTTCACATTTACACATGCTTTTCTGATAGTGTTTGTGTTGTGACTGTTGTTACATATTAATGTAAACTTTATTACTTTGAAAGTTAAAAATTAGAATTGTTTGTCGTTATAAGATTACTGCTTTAAAACATTACATTTGATATTTTGCTAACTTTGATAAAAAAAAGTTTGTCATGCGCGGACTCCATTGCATACGTTATTTACCAAAGATAATGCACTCCCCGATAGAACAGGATTTTGAACCTCCTAATTCAAAAGATTTTGATGATTTTCCTAAATTTTTTAAAAATTTATTAATTTTCTCTTTTATTATATTTCCGTGTAGCCGTACACGATATGTATTAAACTCCAACTGAATTTATAACTTATGCTTAAAAACTCAGTGATAATCTACCTAAAAGAAAGAACCAGAAAAAATAACAATTGCAAATAAAAAAGAAACGAATAAGAAAGCTTCCAAAATAATGTTCACAAAAATTGAATCACTACCACAACCACCTTTTTGCTATACTAAGCAAAACCAAATTAGTACTATGAGCCAAAGCGTATTGTAGAAAATAAATTTTGCACACCTTTAGCAACCACCACTACAAAATGGACCACCACCACTACCACCCTCATCGGTACACTACTGCCACCACTATGGCTACCACCACGTTAACCAGAGCGTACATCTCACCACCACTTTTAATGTGAACGTAACGCACATGAAAGGCAAACATGCTTAATCAACACACATAAATGTGTGGGAAAAGTATGCATACTTAGCGGATGAACAACCAGAAATGTTACTTTTATGTTAGAGACGTAATCAGAAGTATTGCTTACCCGTTAGGAAAAGTAGTCACCCCCATAGGAATTACACCAAAATCATTAGTAAGTAATATAAAAAAAGAGCCTGTAAATTGTTAAGTGGAGAAAGGAAACACGATATCATGTCCTTACATCAAAATCTATAAAGTAAAATATCTAGGCGCAAAATTCTGCTGTGGAACTTTTTAGATGATTTCGAATTAGGACGTAAGCTTCTTACGGATCCAGCAACAAATAATAGCAACGAATAAATATATAATAAGATAATAAAACAAATATAAGCGCACATAGTTAACTTTAAGCTAAGCAGATACTTTGCTTCAAATTAAGTTTCAAAAGTTCATTATTTTTAACACTAGTAAACAGCTTGCCCTCGGAACGTCATGTGCACGTGTTATTATGACTAGGGAAGACTCTCTTAACAATATCAAAAGTGCATTTCGAAGAGCAGATTTAAAAGCAAACAAATACTGATTTGACATTAAGTATATTTTATTATTAGATCCAAATAATTATTCTGCGTGAACATGTTATCCTAAACTGTGCGTGAACGCGTTCACAATAAATTATTTTATTATTTATTTATTTTTAGTTTTTTATTAACACATGAGCAATTTTAACATCATACTGGCATACCATGGTAAGATTACAATGTCTACTCAGTGCATGCATAGATAATAGTACCATAGAGATGTTAATTTGACATTTAAATAAAGCAAAGCGATATTATGTCTTATATTAAAGTGAGATAGAAAAGGAGAATATAGATAACAGAAATAAGTTCGTCCCAGTACTAAAGATCTGACCAACCCCATTGTTGGCAGAAAAGTTTACGCTTGGAAGTAAAATTAAAAGTTTAAAAAGTCTTAAAGCTGTCGTCAAAGAATTATAAGGTCTAGCAATTTTGACCTGAAATGTCTTGGGCAATGTATTTGTAAATCGAGGAACCACTAACGGTATATTGAGGACAGATTCGCTAAAAGCAAAGGGTAGCCGTGCTAATAGTTACCTGCCTTTTAATAATATTATAACAATTCACCAAAACTGGGTACTCCTGTACGTTAAATGAAGCGTGGTCCTCCCTGATAGATCTTTAAGTCGTCATGTATTAGGAGTATAATATAAATAAAAAATAAAATAATAATATTTAAAATTCTGAAAGTGAACAACTAACAAAAAACTAAGATGGATCAAGTATGAAAACAAAAATGAATTAAGACCACTTCCGGAGGTCTGAAATTACTTGTTACGTCAATATGTGTTCCACTTACGTTTAGAAATAAATAAGTCTATATGTTTATTGGCGAGTCGATATATAATGGCAAAAGGTTTACTTTAGTTGACCTTAAGTTCATTCAAAGAAATTACAAGACTTTCAAAGAACATCGCCAGTTGCGTTACACCAATATCAGGTTCTAATATATGTGCTCAAATCCATTAATAAAGTCGACCACTGTACTTTATCTTATTTACAAAATTAATCACAATTTAATACAAGTAATAATATGAATCTAAGAATTAGAACCAGCAAAAGCAACACATCGATTACACTGGTAGTATAATGTATATGAACTTACCTTCTGATTTAAAATCGATCAGAAAAATACCGATATTCAATTCTTCTTGTAAAGAATGTTTGCATAAAAGACGGAAAAACTTTTATAGTAATGTAATAAATAATATGACATAATAAGCGTCTAATTAACATGTATTTTTTATTTTTTTTATTGTCTATATATTTTTATATGGTTTAGGATGTAAATTAAGACGTAAGATCGGAACCAAACTGAATAGTGTTTACAATAAACTAAGTAAAGAAATAAAAAAGTTTTGCAAATGCTTCGTGACCATATGGGGCATTTGGGTTGTGATAAGATATCGAACACGACACTCAAATCGAGTGGAGAAATTGCATTGGCAAATGCCTAATTTGCTTTGCATTTTTGTCGAAATGGTAGATTACAATCGTAATCGAAAGGTAGTGAAAATAGATGCTTATTTAGCCTTATCCTCACCTGAGAAACGTACACTTATGGTTATAGTGTGTCTTACTTAAGTTAATAAGATCAACTTCAATATCCGTAATCGTTTTCCTAGAAATTTATTTATATAAAACTCGACCGTTGTGTACATAAAATCACGACAACACATTTAATGTTCTTTGTATCGATTCAAATGATATTTATAAATTAAGGTCAAAGTCGAATTCTTTCAATTCTCCCAAACCATCTGTCCTCAATAAACGTAATTTCTTTATGTCCTATCCAAATTAATTTTTAGTCTTCCAAGCTTTGTGTGATTCACAAATCGAATTAAATACAGGGTCCAAAATTTTTGCGTGTTTGCAACGGCTTTGAGGCTCACTCTCAAGTCGAATCGATACCGGCTGCGGGTGTGCCTTTACGCTAAATGATCACTTTCTTTCTTCTTTTTTTCTTTTGAGTTTTAATAATTCTTTAATTAATTCTTTTTAATAATAGTAATCTGCTTGTCAAAATCTGTGGACAACGCTTTTGTTAAAGAAATTTTTGAATAACGGTTTATCGCTGATTTATTTTTGTTTCTTCTTTGTTTTATCTAGCCTTTATTCCATTGTTCTATTACGATACCTCTTAAAAATATCGATTCTTACTTAGTATACAAGACTTTAAAACAAAAGAGTTCGTGGCTCTCTGATTACCCAATGCTTTCCGAAATTCTGAGGAGTACAACTTCGCCTAATGGAAGAAGAAACTTTTGACTTCCGTTGCAAACAAACAACGATGATACTGAGCAAATGTACTCTAATAATACTGTTTATCCTGCCAATAAATGTGCAACACCACAACTTTTTTGACGTCAACGAACTGATCTTAATAAAGAGCATCAAAGAGAGAGACAGTTTTCCGTGAAAAGGCAAAGTAATTTGCTTTTATATACTCATGGTATATAGTAAAATAATAAACATTTTAAAATATACAAACTACGATTTCTCACGAGAAAAAAATTGTAAACAGTTTAAAATAAGTTACGGCCGAAACAGTTAGTACTGATGAAGTTAAAGCCCCACTCATGGCGCGTGGCTTTAGGTGGAATGACGTCAAGAGTGCGAAGACTAAGACTAATTTTCTTGGACTTCCCAACCATGTACTGAACTTAATCAGACGCAGAAATTTTTATAGGAGACAATGGATTTAATATCATCAACAAAACCCCTCTATATAAACACCTTGAATTACGCGTAATGTGAATTTCTTAAGTTCAGAAAGGTAAAGTAAAATAAGTAAAGTAAAAGCTTTAAATAAAGGAAGCAAGCAATTTTGGAATATAAGAAAATTGCAAAACGAACAAAACCACGCAGCACTTGGATATGAAGATTGTATACTTTCTCAGTGTAGTGATGAAATACAAACTTTTGCAAAAAGACTTCTAAAAACTCTTAACCTCTTGTAACTTAAGGTCTCATACGAGAACGCATATAATTAATTCCGCGGTAGCGAGACTGAACTCAATTTCATTCAGTTTCCATCTCAGAGGAAGACTACATAAGTGGTGAAATTGTAGTGCACGAAAGACGACCAATGAGCAATTTGATATTCAAAGTCAACATAACACTTCCCCCAAATTGGTACGCATATGCCACTATGCTAAAACCAAACTTAAAGTTAAGCAGTTCATTGGCTTAGTTTCTAGGATGTTGGGAAAGTCTTTAATTCTCTTTCGCATAATGATTTTTAAAATGACATCTTTCCGCTTCGTGACGTTAAATTACACCGAAGCTGTTTGTGTGAAAAAAATTTCTATGTTTCTCTTTCAGAAGAATTTATGATTTTGTACCTATTCCTGCAGGTGTTACCTGTTGTTTAGAAACTCTAAAATAAGTTTTGTAAATAAGACTCTGTTATTTTCCAATCAATCATGTTGTATACCAGTCCAGCATAAAGTAACTTTACTCTAACGCACATCAACAATTTGTAAACAAGCTAAGATAAATTATTCAAAACGGTACCAAGCTTGCCTTTTTTCCCAAAAAGTTGCACAAAATAACAAATAATGCGAACAAAACTTTTTAAATAACAAAAAATATTTATATTAAATTGTCACTTATTAATACTGTAATAATTTGATTCCCTATGAATCTTTTCATATGGGAGTCTTTAGTGTTGGTGTACAGTAAATTTTCTACACTGCTCGGCTTTAATGCGCCAAGTCGATCTGCCTCTTGAAAATGCCAATTGAGCTCGGCATGAGGCAGTCCCTAACAATGGTACCAGGCGGATGGAACGCCTTTGAGCTTTTAGCAGGATAATACGCTTGTTGAATTGCTTTTAGACAATTGACTTTATTCAATTCTTACCTGGCTATTTATACACAAATTATTACACTAAATTATGCTATCGTAAGCAAACAATAATTTTTTTAGTTTGGGCACGTGAAGTGCGACATAATATTCATTTTTTTTTAGCAAAAGAATTATGCTAAATTTGCATAATTCTGTCGCGCTTCAAAGTGGATGCATGTGAAGGTATGCGATCACACTATAATACATAATCTAATACTAGCCAAGCCGTTACATTTACTTTCAATCATAGGTTGTTGTTTGTAGATTTTCTTTCGCTATCTACATG